CACCACAAGGGAAGGTATATAAGGACTGCCCCCACACATCGGAGCTCAGAATCGGAGCTGATAGCCCTGAAGATGCAGACTGCAATGTTTGCGAAACGTCGGCGCAATGCTGAAACTCAACGCGGCATCCATCCGGAAGCTAACCAAGTCAGGTTCTCCCCTATTATGACAGTCTCTGATCAATGATTCAGTAAATCGAAGCTTTTAGTATTTGTAGTAAATTTCTCATCTTTTGACACGAAATATACAATGTCTCGAGGCCAGAAATTCTCACTTTATCGCCAAGTATTGGTGTTCAAGTCATGAACATTTCACAGGATTCTTTCACGGTCTGACTCATTATGCGGAATTCTTATCCCAAGTTTTTTATCCTGAAGAGATGAGATATTTTACGCAAGTAATTAGTTTTGTGATATGTCGATATTTTTCTCAGTGTAAGAATCATTTTAAAGAGTCAGTCTGTATGGAAATCAGCTTCTGACATTACATCCCTGACATTGAAGAAGATAAATTACAAAAATGTTCGTGATTGACCCTTATCAATGCGTCAATCTCAGAATTCAAAAGATAACTTGTTAATCGTCTTATCAATTTGAAAATGGTCAACTACTGAGATAGGGGAGATGCTGCGTGTGCCACTCAGCTAAGGAATAATGATGATTCTTGTATATAAATACCTACCTCAAACCAATGGGGAATAATTCGAGTCTTCTCACATCATTGAACTTGACAGTCGAAAGACATGAAATCTCTCTAGTCCAAAGCCTTGCACACTCGTCCACGAATTCTGCACTGTGAGGACCTGAAAATGTCGGGAGGTTATTTCTTCCCTCCAAAATTGAAATTTTGTTATAAAACTTATCTCCCAGGAATTAGATGATATGAAAGTGGGCTAAGCGGTCTTCAGGAATTTACCAGTAATTCAAATGAAGTTGAAAAATCAAAGAATTTCTTTGTGAGGTCTCAACTATTACCTTCGCCCTTCTTCCCCTTCATCTAGTCAAACTCAAAAATACAAAAATCTATAGGCGCCAGGTAATTTTTAGCCGGAATTACCAAACCGGATGATTCTACAAAACCAATTCTAATTGATTCCAAAACCTTAAAAATTTACACAAAAAGGGAGAAAACTAGATTTCTGGGGAAAGGTAACGGTCCTGGGTTCGCTCAGTGTGCTAGGTTGTGGAGAGAGGGGTGGATTTCAGGTGGAGACGGGTATTGGGTGGCCAAAACTACAAAAAAAAA